GCACATCTACCCTAGCAGCAGGGGTCAACCTGCCAGCTCGAAGGTAAGAGATAAACAACACTAGGCCAGGCTTCAGACTTTACTCTCTCAGCAGTGGATTAAAATTTATCAGCTTTTTTTCAGAATTTGCTGAAAACTTTGTTTGGTTTATTTCCTTTAATGAAAAGTATTAGTAAATTTCTTGGTGTTAGAAAGAAAGAACGATCTTCCATCTGCTGGTTCACTCCCCACATGGCCAAAATGGCCAGAGTTGTGCCATTCCAAAGCCAGGAGCCAAGAGCTTCTCCTGGATGTCACACATGGGTGCAGAGGCCCAAGCACTTGGGCCATCTTCCACAGCCTTTCCAGGCCATAAGCAGAGAGCTGGATCGGAAGAGGAGCAGCAGAACACAAACCACGCCCATGTGGGATGCCGGTGCTGAAGGCAGAGGCTTAGCATACTGTGTCACAATGCCAGCCCCTATTATCTTTTTTTAGGGAAAATCTTCATTACCTTTTCATTTGTTACCAAAGTTATAGGCCTACAATCTTTAAAAAAAAAAGGGGGGGGGGGCGGAGTGCAGAGGGGTGGGATAGAGTATGCTGGGGAGCAGGGTGGGATATGGTGAGGGGGTAGGGTATTGTGGGGTGGGGTGTGCTGGGGTGGGAATAAGAGTATGGTGGGGTAGAGTGTGCTGGGGTGCAGTGAGGTGAGGTGGGTTAAGTAGGGAGAGGGAGGTCCAGATGAGAGGAGTCAAGGGCAAGTGCCCTGAAACAAAAGCAATTTGGGGCTTTGGAAAACCCCAAGCCCCTTAATGGGAGGGAATTTTAAATTAAGCTGGGTGGTGGGTCACAAGGGGTATGGGAGTGATGAACAGGGCTGGATTCTCAGCTAGTATATCTGAGATGAGACTCATCCTCCAATGGAGGACCACTTTGGGATCATGGATAAATCGGAGAGAATCTCCACTTGGGCCAGGGCTGGAACATGTCCTGTGTTCTGGTGCAGGTGGACGCGGTGCACGCACTGAGTGTTCTATACACATCACGTCCAGTAACCTCTAGAGAAATAAGGTGATACCCTTAAGGGAGAAGGAATGCCCAAAAGCCATTACATTGGCACCTTTTGCATTGGCTTGAGGAATCCAGAGCCTACTCCATTTAAAAAAGTGCTCAGGTTATCATGACAAACCATAGGCAAAGTCTAGGGTGATGATTAAATTAATGAAAATGTTGAAAAGGTTTACATGTGCAACTGAGAGGGAGAGAAGTTTTAGATTCTTAAAACTAGGTTGTTTTCAGTATATTTTGTCTAAAGGAAGGCATGATTTAGGTAGAGGTTACATGAATGAAAACTGGGATGGTTTGGATAAAATGGCAGCTAAGAGAGAAGGAAGGAGTTGCTTTTGACACACATTCTAGGAACGTTGAGCTGCATCCAGATGGTAAATATTCCTCACCATCCAAAGCAAATAATACAATATGATGCGGGGGGTGGGGTCAGGTTGCAGATGTTTTCCCACCACCACCGATAAGCAGAATTTTTGCCTGACTTGGTGTTCTGTGTTCTATAGTACTGCATATTCATTATCATATCTTGGATTAGAAAACAAAGGAAAAAGACATCCTAGTTGAAGGGTGGTATCATATAGGCTTAAAAAATCATAGTAATAATCATAGTAATAGCTGCCATTCTTTAATGTCTCAATGAATAGCAGTCCATTTGCCAGGTGCTCTATAAGCATTGCATTCCAGCAGTCTTAGAAGACAGGGCTTATCAAACTCACTTCACTAATCACTATCAAAGCTCAGAGAGTTTAAGAATGTGTCTAGTTCACACATCTGTTAAGCAACGGGCTGGGACTATACCCCCGGTCTGCATTCTCTAGAATCCATGATGTTTGCCTTCTCTTAGCCTGAGGCAGATCTTGGATGTATTAATTCATTTCTCTTCTGACTACTCCACAATGTCTCTGAGGGAATGAAAAGGAAGATCCAATGCCCAAGCATCAAAAGCAGATCTAAAGAAGGAAGGTGTAAGTGAGAATCCAACACAGTTTGGGACTTTCTGAGGGCCTTGTTTGTCTAAGGGTCTTGTGCCCCTGGCCCTGGGGTCTTTGAGAGTTGACTCTGTCCTGGTTCTAGCACATATTTAGTCCCTGCATGTTCCTGCATTACAACACCCCTCCCACAACCTTCCTCACTGTGCCCTCCTCCCCTGGAGCCTGCATCCAAGTCCAGAGGAGCCGAAAGTCCATACTCACTTGCCCTATCCCCAGCACAGAGGGTTCCATTTCCTAGTGGGTCTCACCCCTCACAGTAGACCCTCTGTGACAACCACAGTCCCTTCCACCAATTGTTCATGTCAGACACTTGAGCCCCCGGGCACCTCCTTCACACTCTCAACGTGTTCTCAGATCTGCTAGTCAGGAAAGTCTGATTTGGTATCGAATCTACTGATTCTTGGATTATAACCCTAAGGCTAGAGGAGAAGTTTTGTAAACCACCCCAATATTTAAGAGTGGATTTTAATGGAGTTAATTATTCAAGTCTGGGGTCAACATTGTGGTGCAATGGCTTAAGCTGCCACCTGCAATGCCAGTATCTTTTATAAATGCCAGTCTGTGTCCCGGATACTCCACTTTCAAAACAACTCCCTGCTGATGTGCCTGGGAAGGCAGTAAAAGATGGTTCAAGTGCTTAGGTCCCTGCCACCCACATGAGAGACCTGGATGGAGTTCCAGGCTCCTAGCTTCGACCTGGCCCAGACCCAGGCGTTGTGACAATTTGGGTAGCGAACCAGCAGATGGGAAGATTATCCCCCCGACTTCACTCTGCCTTTCAAATAAATAAGTAAATCTTTTAAAAATTATTTGAGACTTACCATGGAACACATACACCAATATATGAGCTCATTTAGGTGGTCCAAAAGCAAAGCTTCTCCAAAAAGTAGTCAATGAGGAAAGATTGTGGAGATTACTGTGTAAGTAAATATCTATTGAGGCTAAATTCTAAAATTGCAGGAGTCTTTCAAGTAGATGAACAATGGTTTCATTGTCTATATGCTCCCTTTTATAAGAAAAGAAGAAATAATTCAGCCATTTTCCACTGTCTCTAGTCTCTGCTCACTCCTGAGGGAAATTTTGGATTTAGCTAATAGGTAAGATATTCCTGTTGTCCCTGAATTCTAACAACATGATAAATTATAATTCTCCCTGCTTAGTCACATGCCTCCAGAATTCATCAGAATTCAGCAAAATTAAAAATGTGTGTTTTTTTCATTATTTTAAAATTTATCCTATGCTTTTTCTCCTATATTTGTTTTATAAAAATTACACTGTGCGTTTTAAAAGTACATAGGTAACAGTGTTCCTTTTGCCATTTTCACTGAGTAAAATGAATGCAGCTCTTTCTGACAGCACCTATAAATCCATCTCACCATTTTAACTGCTCCCTGGAATTCTAAAGTGTGTATCTGCTGTAATTAACTTAACCAATTTCCTCCTGATGGACACATAAGTTGTTTTTCGTTTGTTGCTATGCTTAATTGAACTGACAGCAACATCATTGAACACCAATTCTTGGACAAGTAACGCATGTTTTCATATAGTAAAGACATAGCAAAGTGCAAATTGGATTACAGTAGAAAACATGATGATTGTAAATATTTATTAATATTTCTGAAGTTCTGTTCTGATAAAGCTACTCCAATTCATAGTCTTCCATGTTAAAGTCCATGAATAAGCTACACCCTCACAGGCATTTTATTTTAAACTTTGGCCATCCTGTTGGATGAAAATATCTTGTCTTGCTGTTTTTAATTTTCTTATTTTCTAAATAAGTTGAGCATAAAATTAACTTCATCATCCATCCATAGAAAGTGGAGTTTCTTCAGTGATGTCTTAAGTACCACTATTCCTCTGGACGTGTTTTAAAATTCTGAAATGTCACTAAAACATTTCCCTTTTTTTTTTTTTGAGGAAGAAGTATGTGATCAAAATGAGCAGATGCCAAGGAATGGAACCACACAGGACACCCTCAGCTAATGAGGAACATCAGGCGGACCTAGGGGCACAGCAGTTTCCAGAGTCCATGAGAGGGATCACCAAGTTTTGAGAGTGTAAGCCCTAGAAGGCTGGGGTTCCATGACGCACATTGCATCTGTTATACAGTGATTGTCAATATTTTCGACATGGAACCTCGTCTCCTGATTTAAGCCTTCCCCAGCAATCCAATACTTGATTGGAAGACAGCAGTCTGGATCCTGCCCACTCAATGCCACGCCATCTCACTCATGCTGGTGCTCCCTGAGACCCACACATTTCTGACTTCCCTAAGCACTACTGGGAAAGTTTCATGCAAGAAAATTCATCCTCAGATAAGGAGATTATCACATGCCTGCACAGGCATCTTCCTGTGTGGATTCCATTCTGGCCAATACACTGTACTCCGATTTTGCTGCTTGGCTTTCCAGCACTCTGGAAATGTGCTGCCTTTTCCTGAATCCCCAGCATACCTTATCATCTCTTCTCTTGTTTCCAAAACCT